TAAATATTATTGATAGAAATAAATATATACAAGTAATAATGTTATAGAATGTTATTTTAGAGAAAGAAAAGTGAAATAAAGTGTAAGTAAAAGCAACATGTAAATATTATTAATGATAGAAATAAATATATACAAGTAATAATGTTATAGAAACTCTATACTTCACAAGTGCTACTAGTGAAGTATAGTATCCATGAAGGGACTTTTCTTAGAGGAGAAAAGAAAGCTTTGCTTTTTAAAATGTGCAATTCTTAATTAAAATTTCCACTCTACATCTTACCAACCCCTTCAGAAAAAAACATATTACAGTTTTTCAATATTATGCATTGGAAGGTACCCCAAAGCATATTTATCCTGCAGTAATTTTACTACAACACTGAAGCTCATTTTCCTTTTGGTAATAAGGTAAATTAAACACATTTTCAGGTGAATTTTTCCCACAGACTATACACAGACAGCCATAAAGTTACTCCAGTGAAAATGTCCTCAAGGGAAATGCTCTACCTAAGGCCTCAAGAACATTTCAGGACTGGCAAGCATGTTCCCATGAATAAATATTTCATTCAGGCAAGGCATGCTTGACCTTGGGAAGCAGCTGGGGACTCTGAACATGGAGTCAAGTGACTTCCCAGAGGCCATGATCAATCTAATGCTGTCTGTGGTGCTGACTCCATCTCTGCCTGTCCTGAGGAAAAAAAAGGCAGAAGTAGCTTTTGACTTCGTTGATTTGGTTAGAAGGGCCCTGAAGACCAGTTTGGGTGACAGGGAAGTCAACCCACAGCCTCTCAGCTTGGAATAATTTAATTAAGGCGCTTCAGTGGGTATCTACATAATGTGAAGTGAATTCCATCAAATTGCAGGGAAGCATGTTACATTCAAATCTTGCACCTTACTCTTCATTACCACATGAAAAAGTTTCTATTAATTTAATTTCATATTTTTTCCAGATCATTTTTCAGATGCTCTCATTTTCTTACCTGTTCCTTCAAAGTCTTTTATGGTTTTTATTTGGAGGTTTTGAGGCAGCTAAAATAAAATTTAAAATTATAGCATGCAAAAATATCTAGTATTGAATTGATTAATTAAATACTAGATATTTACAAAGGCTTTATATGTATTATTTCACTTAGTTATTTTTAAATTTTATCTTTATTTTTGAAAGAATTACAGATGTCATCCCCATCCCCCCGTTACTTTTTCCCCCATTAACCCCTCCACCCAGCTCCTGCCCCTGCCAGGACTTCACCCTACTATTGTCTGTGTCCATGGGCTATGCATTTATGTATACTAGAGGCCTGATGCATGAAAATTGTGCAAGAGTAGGCCTTCCTTCCCCTGGCTGACAGCACTGGATTCCCTCTGGCATCCAGGACCCAAGCTTCCCTCCAGCACCCGGAAACCAGATTTCCCTCCAGCCACTGCCAGGCCCTGGGAACCCACTTCCCTTGCATCCTTGGCTTCATCCAGAAGGTCATCAGGTCTAATTAGATATTATATTTCTATTATTTTAGATAAGTTCTTTGGTTAATCTTTTTCCATTCCTCTCCTTTCCTCTGAGGGTCAGTTCATTCTTACAGCAATTCTATGAGTAATTTTCTCTGTCATCCTTATTTTATATTTCAATAGATGAAAAAACTGAGTCTCAAGTTTAAAACTTGAATCTACCTTTTATTGCATGTGTAACATTGAAAAATTTCTTTCAAACTCAAAATCCAGGCTTATCTCATGTCTCCATGTTATCATTCCTCAATTTGAATGGAATGCTAACCTCACATGGATGGACTCTTTCATTTACCTGTGTTCACCCGCTCAACAACCATTAAATGAGAGACTAATGTTTGCAGATTGTTGGAGATTGACACAAGACACAATGTTTTCTCTCCTCAATTATTATTATTTTGCAAAAGCTGAAATTTGGTGTGGAATAGCAATTATGATCATTTTAAACATCACTTATTAAGCTATGTGTTACTTCATTTATTGATCCAAACAATATCCCTTCTCCTCTGGTAATAAGCACTTGGTTCAAAGCATGGAAGATCCCTGCTCTTGTACATTTAGTCTAGACTATTATCCTGGGATACTCAGTTTCTCTGAATCTACATTTGTCCCTTTCTTGCTCTCTTCTCTGATTCTCCTAATTTTAGTTTTTTGGCTTTGATATTTCTTGGACTGATGTTCAAAAAAACAACTTCTGTTAGAGAACACTATAATCAGAGTTGTTTCACATCTCTTGTTTGTCACTTATACACAGATTTGCAATAACAAAGCAATTAATATTTCCTACATTCAATTTAAGTTCAGGTGACATCTTTTCATATTTTAGAGGGCTTTCTGGACTCGATATCTTCTTCAGTAGCAAAATCTCAGTTTTTTGGATACTACATTACTCATCTATGACAATAGTTCTATTGCCATAAATAATAGCTACATATACTGAGCATATCTCTATTTTTGACATTGTGTTACAAACTTTTTATCAGCAAGCACACTGTCTAATTAATCATGGCCCTCACTACACCAAGACTTAGCACAGGCCACAGAGTAGCCGCTTAATAAAGATAATTGGTCCAAATTTTTTCCTTAATTACTACATGTATGGACCTGTGCATTGAAAACACATTCACAAACTAAATTAGGTAAGAACCAGGCCCTCATGGATTTGAAACACTCAAGTTATTTTGAAAAAGGATAGGCAGAAGGCAGAGGGGAAATAAGGACAGAGAATTTTATATATACTAATAAAAGAGAAAGATGCAAATTGACCATACCTTCCTGATGCCCAACAGCCAATCAGGAGTGAGTATGCAGATTAACCCAACAAAGATGTTGGGTTAATTTGCATATGCAGGTTCTGAGTGGCTGGGGGCGGGGCGGGGTGCTTGTGTCATTGCAATGATGATTCAGGTGTTCCACGCTGCCCTAGCCGCTCAGGGCCTCTGAGCAGTGTGGGAAAGCAGAAAGGCAGGAGCAAAAGTGGTGCCAGCAGCCAGGGGATGGAAGGTCCATTTTTGCATGAATCTTCCTGCATTGGGCCTCTAGTATTATATGAGTAATAACAGTGTGTTAAAGATGTGAGATAACATTTTCTATTCCACTTAATCTTTTAGGTAAATCCCATTACAAAGATAGTAAATTAAGATTTTCTAAACATGTATGTTATCTGTTAATAAGAAAAGAAAACTAAGTCATAGACTTTTTGGAGGTTGGGTATGTGGTAGCTATTACTTCCGGAAGTCCCATTCTTTGAGTAAATGATAAGAGGCTGGCTTTTCCATGGAGCTTGAGTGCAGTGTTGCCTCTAATAAGCAGACCAATTCTTTCTCTATTAGTTTTCGCATCCTTTGCATGCTTCCTGGTAAGAACTCACTACTCTGTTGTATTTAGTTTTTAAATGATATACAAATAACCAAGGATCTGTAAAACTGCTCTCCCCATCACATGGTCTAGCCCAGCGTTTTTCAACTGCTGTTCCCCGGCACACTAGTGTGCCGCGAGATGTTGCCTGGTGTGCCGTAGGTGCAGACAAGACAAGAATTTTATAATTTTTCACTATTTTGTTTGCTTAATATTTCATAATAAAGTAATTATAAAATACTTTCTTTGTGTTTATTTGATTCCTATTCAAGAGAATTACTTTATATATAGTCGATATAGGCACAGAGTTAAATTTTTTAACATTTTCTAATGGTGGTGTGCCTCTTGATTTTTTTCATGAAACAAGTGTGCCTTTGCCCCAAAAAGGTTGAAAAACACTGGTCTAGCCAGATGGGAGAAAAAAATAGCCTTAAAATAGCTATCAAGACGAGAGTTTACTTCTTGTTGTTAAGGCCACTTTCTTTTTTTTTTTTATTATTATTATATAATGGTTTTATTTTTTATTTTTTATTATTTTTTCAATAGTTTTTCTGTTTTTATTTTTTATTTTTATTATTATTTTTATATATATATATTTTATTGATTTTTTTTTGCCCCCCTCCCTCCCTCCCTCCCACACATCCCCTCCCTCCCCAGAGTTTTGTGTCCATTGGTTGTACTTATAAGCATGTATAAGAGTCCTTCGGTTGATCTATTATCTCCCCCAGATCTTCCTCCCCTCCCCGCTGTAATTTGACAGTCTACTTGTTGATATACTGTCTCTATATCTATCTTTTGGTTCATCAGTTTATAATGCTCTTTATTATCCACAAATGCGTGAGGTCATGTGGTGTTTCTCTTTCATTGATTGGGTTATTTCACTCAGCATGATGTTCTCCAATTCCATCCAGGTTGCTGCAAATGCTGAGAATTCCTTCTTTTTTATGGCAGCATAGTATTCCATTGTGTAGATGTACCATGGTTTTTGGATCCAATCATCTACTGACGAGCACCTAGGCTCTTTCAAAATTCTGGCTATTGTAGATTGTGCTGCTATGAACATAGGGGTGCATATATCCTTTCTGATTGGTGTTTCTAGTTTCTTGGGATATATTCCTAGAAGTGGGATTACTGGGTCAAATGGGAGTTCCATTTTTCAGTTTTTTGAGGAAACTCCATACTGTTCTCCACAGTGGTTGCACCAGTCTGCATTCCCACCAGCAGTGCAGGAGGGTTCCTTTTTCTCCACAACCTCGCCAACACTTGTCGTTTGTTGATTTGTTGATGTTGGCCATTCTGACAGGTGTGAGATGGTACCGCATTGTTGTTTTGATTTGCATCTCTCGGATAATTAGTGACTTTGAGCATGTTTTCATGTGCCTTTTGGCCTTCCTTCTGTCTTCTTTTGAAAATGTTCTATTTAGGTCCATTGCCCATTTTTTAATTGGATTATTTATCTTCCTTTTATTTAGTTGTATAAGTTGTTTGTAGATGTTGGAGATTAAACCTTTATCAGTGGTATTATTTGCAAATATGTTCTCCCACACTGTGGGCTTTCTTGTTGTTTATATAATGGTTTTAAATGGGAATATAATATTTTTTAATTACCCAGAGTTGATATACATAAATCACTTGTGGTATCATTCTCTAAAACAGAACAACAGAACTTTCACTAACACGAAACTAAAGATGAGCTTTCCATTTCTTTTCAGGATCAGTGTTGCTAAATATCATTCCATCTTTTTCTAATTTTTTCAAATGAAGCAAGAGATTACGTTCAGCCACGACATGTAAATTCTCAGGAGTATTCTTGTAAATAATTTTTACAAGCTCCTTTACTGTAAATGATTTGTCAAAATTTTCATGAAATATTTGAAGAATCTGCTGTTCTCGAATATTTCTGTGAGAAATGTATTCTTGGATTTTAGCTTCAGCATTATGGATTACGGGACCATGTCCTGGATATATAATATCAGCTTTGATTTTCAATAACTGTTTTAGGGAGTTCATATAATCATAGAGGTCTTCAAATATAGTTGTTCCTTCCCCTAGGATGCAATCTCCAGAAAAGAGAGCATTTTCCTCTTCTAAAAGTAGAGCCATATGATCATCAGTGTGGCCAGGTGTGTATATAATTCTGAGAGTGGCACCCTCAGTCTTAATCAAATCTCCATCTTTTAGATAAACATATTTTTGCTCTCCATCTCCTATAGTTTCTTCTGTATGAGGATTCCGTGGGAGTTTTTTAATGCAATATGGAGTGTCATTATCAATGCTTTTACAAATATCTCCTATGCCTCCAGTATGATCACGATGCCAGTGAGTCACGATGATTTCCTGGATTCCTGTGTTAAATTCGTTCAGAGCCTGCTTTAAACAGATGATATATTCTGGAATTGCTGGTTCTCCAGTGTCAATGAGGATTCGCCTGGGGCCGGTCCCTACCAGGTAGGTGTTGGTGCCCTGCAGGGTCATGGGGCCCGGGTTACAGCCCAGGACGCGCACCACCCGGCTGGACAGCCGCTCGATGCGCTGCAGAGTGGCTGCCATCTCCGCTTAAGCCGCCCGTGGGCGCGCAGCTTACGGGGCGACCGCCAGGCCACTTTCTTGAACTGGAAGTTTATTTCTAATATTTCTATTCTCTAAAAATTATATATTTTAGCTGAAGGCTGATTTTTGGAGGAAAACTACTTTCAGAAAGCCATATATCAATATTCATTTGACCTAAGAGCTGGAGATAGCTTTTTACATTTGCCTGGAGTCAAGGCCGTCATCTGCAGGCGAGAAGCATAGTCAGAAGCGATGCCACTAAAAGGCGCTTTTCCTGAGACAGAGCTTATTTTAAAGAAAGGAACAACTGTGTCAGATAAACCCAACTGGCAGCAGTGTGATTAAATCTGGGAAATAGGAGCTCCAAACCTATAATGCCAAACTATAGTAGAGTTCTCTCAGCAATTAGAGAGACAAAATTACCAGGGTCTGTTTATAGATAAAAGAGATTAACATGGAGTCTCAGGACTTTGATCACAGAATCTTAAGAAGCCAGATATTGATTGCATTTACAAGCAATCACAAGAGCCTAAACCGTGCTTAAGTAGAATGGATGGGAAGAGATGAATAAATTACCTGTATGATTTAAAAGGGAAGATCAAAGATTATCTGCTCAAGTATATTCATTAAAGTGTAAATCATCAATATTGGCCAAGGGGCATAAACACCCAGTTTTAAGATTAACAAGGTTAATAGGGTCTGAGGCTCTAAAGTACAGAATGGTGACTATGACTCATAATTCAGTATTATAGGGACTACATCAAACTAAAAAGCTTCTGTACAGCAAACAAAACTGTAAACAAAATGAAAAGGCAAGTTACAAATGGGAGAAAAGTTTGCATTTCATAGATCTGATAAGGGGCTAATACCCAAAATATGTAAACAGCTCATATAACTCAATAGCAAAACCGCCATATAACCTGATTAATAAATGGGCATAAGATCTAAATAGACATTTCTTCAAAGAAGATGCACAGCCAATAGGTAAGTGAAAAGATGCTCAACATCACTAATCATCAGCAAAATGCAAGTCGGAAGAATAGTGAGTACCACCTCACACCTGTTAGAATGGCTATTATAAAGAAAGATAGGACATAAGTGTAGGTGGGGATGTAGAAGAAAAGGGAACCCTTCTGCACTGTTGGTGGGAATGCAAATTGGTGGAAACACCATGGAAACCAGTATGAATGTTTTTCAAAATAATATTATAAAATAAAACTGCCATATAATCCAAAAATTTCACATCTGGGTATTTATCCAAAGAAAATAAAAACACTAATTCTAAGAAATGTATGCACCTTCACTATCATTTACAATCACCAAAATATGGGAACAGTTTAGTGTCAATCAATGGATGAATGGAAAAAGAAGATGTCATACACACACATACACACACTGACATAGTACTCAGTTCCATTTGTGACAACCTGTATGGACACTGAGGGCATTATGATAAGCGAAATAAGTCAGACAAAGAGACAAATACCATATGGTCTCACTTATATTGAATCTTTAAAAAACAAGAACAGAAAGTTCATAGATATAGAGAACAAGAAGGTGATTCCCAGATGCTGAGGCATGGGAGAAAGCAGTGAATATATATATATATTTTAAATAAATTGAAAAAAAAAGTTGTATTATATATTGGAATGATACTAAGAAAGTAGGTCTTAAATCTCACCACCACAAAAGGGAAATGGTAATAATGTTACAAGATGGAAATGTTAGCTATGTAAGGTGGTAATCATTTTGCATTATATAAATGTATTAAATTAACAGATTGCATACCTTAAACTTACTTAATCTTAAATAAATGTCAATTATATTCCAATGAAACTGGACAAATAAATGAGATAGTGATATATATTACCGAGCTGCAATGCAAGACTAAGAAATAAAGAAAAAGGGATAGTTTTAAAGTCAGCCCAGTCTTTTCATTAGTGATTGCACAGATCTGAAATAGAAGATTTCATATAATTGAATGCAAGTCTCTATTTTGTGAGTTCCAAACCGTTGGGATTCTGGTAGCATTAAAAATGCAGAATGTGCACTTAAAATTTTGAATGCTTCTGTGTATGCTTTAAGTTGTAAAAAATTAATTTTAATTGCTTCAAATTTTAATGATTTTCCCAGTATAACCCAAAGAATTGCTCTCAAGGGCTCTCCAAAGAGTAAAAGAGTTTTTATAATTCAGTTTAGATTTTCTTAATAAAAACAAATGTTTCCTAACAGCTATATTTGGTAGATTCAGGATGTTAGGAGGGGAAACTCCAAAAGAGTGGGTTACACGCAATGTAAAGCAGTTAACTTGAAGAGAAAAGTTAAATTCAGAGATACAAAGTTAAAACCAAATGGCTGCAAATTAGCGGGACCTAAAAGGACTCATGGTATTTAGGTGATAAGAGGCCAAAACAGGAACAGAGATCAATAGTATATATAATACAGTTTCACAAAACTTAGTGTTGTTCAGAGGAGTAGGACCCTGGAATATCAAAATGATGTCAGCAGAGCACCTTAGGCATCTGATACATTCTGTATTGGTCTTTCCTAAGTACATATTTGGCTTTAGGGCAGTGGAGGTGGTATGATCTATCAATTGAACAGATCTTAAAGAGGCAATAGTTTGGGATACTTTTTGCTCGCAGACCTATTTAAAAAGCTGATGAAACTTAGGGACTTATGCTATGTAAAAAAGGATATATGTATCCACACATATAATTTTGCACATAAATTTTGGCTCATTATATTAGCAATCTGGGCTCTGTCAATGATTGATTCCATTTATTTGTTAGTACTTTGAGCTTGATATGATACTGAGCAATTTATGTTAATTAATTCAATGTGAGGTATTATCCTCAGCTTTATAGTTTAGGAAATGGAGTAACTTTCCCATTTATCTAGAAACACAAATGTAACTTCTAATGCATATGTAATACATATGTACTTAACATATGTATTTGTGCATACAAATGTCTCCAACCTCAGCAGCTACAGTTAATGATCTTGGGATCACAATATTCTTAGAGAAGGAAAGATGGACATTTGGCAGGAAGGTTAACCTCCACTTTGTGACTAATTCCTCTTCTCTATTCTATGAGACGGTATCTCTATTTCTTTCTATCCTGCTTTCCAGAAATGTACTTGAGGGAGAAGAAAGCAGAACACAAAACTGAAGTAAAAATAAAGTTTGTCCTAATGTTCAAATATATTGAGACAATATAGCTCAAGACTCAAATAGTACCTTCAATTTACATTATGGGTAATTATATAGAAAATCCTTGTATAATGATGATGGTATAATACGAAAAGGCTTCATTTGTCATTTGAAGGTTTGAGTTCTTTCTAAGGAAGAGCTCTTTTTTCAAACATTCATCAACAAATTGTGTATAAACTGAATGTGGATATTTAAAAAATATATTTTTATTGATCTTTTACAGGGAGGAAGGGAGAGGAATAGAGAGCTAGAAACATCGATGAGAGAGAATATCGACCAGCTGCCTCCTGCACACCCCCACCACGGGATGTGCCCGAAACCAATGTACATGCTCTTGGCTGGAATCGAACCTGGGACCCTTCAGTCTGCAGACCGACGCTCACTGAGCCAAACTGGTTTTGGCTGAATGTGGGTATTTAAAGAGAGAAAAAAATAGAAACAAACAGGATATATTATTTAGACCTCCATTTCAGAAGGATGGGCCAGAAATGACCCCTTTGTGAAATGGATGCCTTTAAAAAGAATAACTATGTAGTACAGTGGACCTCAAAAATCTTTTTATTATAACATATAATAAAAGATACATTTTATACCAAAACACAGTGCACATGTACACACACAGAAACATACACATAGTTCATAATGACCAAAGCTACCTTGTTATCTGAAATAAACGCTAATTTGTCTATTATGTTCCTTCCTATCCTATGTTAGCACATTAAAGAATGTTGGTCATGGTCAACATAATTCATTTCACCACCTTCTAATGGTTCCCAATTTGAAAATTAAACCCATCTGTAGTTCAGCCTCCAAAATAAAATTTATGATTATGATACCATTGAGAAAGGAGGGAAGAGACGGGTAAGAGTTTTATATCACATCACCAATCCCATAGTTATGGAGTAGCTACACAGTAGAGATTTCTATTTTAAAGTGAGGGCGATGATGACTGGTTCTGTTACATGAGCAATATCAGATATTGTTTAGAAAACAGTTTTCAGAGATGAGTCACTGATTTTTTATTCTCTATATCTTTAAGTATTACTACAGAATTACATGAAGGTAGCTTGATCCTTACTGTAAGAGCTAGTGTATGCTTTAACGCTAAAAGTAGAAAAACTTCATTGAAAAGAAAGTGATTCAACTTAGGACTAAGCTATAAGATAACATGAGTTTCAGGCTTAAGATCTCATAAGTGACAGATGTACTTCTAGATTGAACAAGTTTGTGTGAGTCACAATGATACAGTGGAAGAACGAAATTGGCACTAAAACCAAAATTTTATCCTGTCAAGCTCAGTTGGTCATTAGTTCAATAGTTGTGGAGTAAATATTGTAGTCTAGATGCTGCTAAATGTTAACCATCCAAATACAAGAAAACAGTTTGACCTCAAGGATCCCAAAAGGAAGGTGTGCCAGCCAAGTCGTTATTCAGTTTGCTAGTTTCCCCACCAAATCCATCAACTCTCTTCCCTTGTCTGCCCTGCCTTTCTCACCGGGCGGTTGACCCAGGCTTTGAGTCATTTTGCCTTTTAGCTTCTAGTTGTTATTGGCCAAAGGGAGTCCTCAGTAGTGGATTGAAAGGTGAAGAGATAAAGATCAGGGCTTTCCTTTTTCTCCTTCTTTTTGAACTGGACTGTGTTATTTGATGATGGTTGTTATATCCATAACTACCATTCGTGAAGGACAACTCTTTCTCCATTGCCCATGCTTCTTACACTGCGGGAACTCTCTTTGTCCTTCTTTCTGTCTCATGCTTTTGGGTGCTAGTGATGTCTTACTAATCTCTGGGTCCTTAACCTTCATTTCTAGCTTCATTAACCTCTTCACAT